ATCACCTCAAGCTACATTTATTTCCCCCCAAACCCGACTAATTACATACCTGCACCCACCCACCATACACACACACACACATGCTCGGCCTTGAGAAAGGAAACCACAAATCGTCCATGTATGTACAGATAAAAATCGTAACCAACTTTTGATCCAATATTACACGATATTCCCCATCTGGACTCCTCACCCCCCCCCCCCCCCCCCCCCCCCCCCCCCCCCCAGCCCCCCGCCGCCTCTGTGATATGTTACATGGATGTCTGAGCGTGAGAGTCTAGGTTGGGACGTGGACGTGGACGTGGATGCGGTTTAGGTCTTACTCATTCCAATAAATAATATTTGAATCATTGGGGCGCCAGTTTTTTTTTGGTTCCCTGTCATGGAAGGAAGGAAGGAAGGAAGGAAGGAAGGAAGAGGGGAGTAGGTAGGTAATAGTATGTACATGGGGAATGATTAATTAGTGCGTACAGTACAGTACAGTACAGTACAGTACAGTCAGCGCCGCCGCCGCCACCGCCGTGCGCTGTGCGCTGTGCGGCCGTGGCAGGACATGATGCGTAGACACGTGAACGTGAACTTGAACGTGATGAGATAATGGCAATTAAATTTTTTTTCTTTCAAATCCGCCTATCCCGTTTTTTTTCTTCTTTCTTTCCCAATTCAACCGTATTCGTGTTTCCCTTGACAGTTTTCCTTGGATTGATGACCAAAAAACCAAAACCAAAAAAAAAAATCGTCTGAAAAAAAAATATACTTCCCAAAAGGACTAACTAACTAACTAACTAACTCCTAGTTTTCAACTCAACTAATACTACTACATGCCCCAACTCGAGCCATTTGATCCAATAATGCTGTAACCCATCGCATAGCCGACTCGGACACAATCCCAATCTTGTATGGGTGGGTGGGCTCGTCAATGGCGCGAAGGATCTTCCTCTAGTTAAACTGCCGACGGCACCTTGATGGCAAACTTCTTCAAGTACTCGTAATCGGCCTCGCATTCCTTGACGGTATCCGCGATCTGCTTGGCTCCCTCGGCGCCGTACTTGGTGGTCCATTCCTCGAGCAGTTCCGAGTCGGATTTGGGCGTTTTCTTCTAAGTTGTAATTATTAGTCACCTTTCAAACCAGACCCAAGATAGATTTGGAAGAGAAAAAAAAGGTGCTTGGAGAGAGAGAGAGAGAGAGAGAGAGAGAGAGAAAAGGGATAATATAAAAAATGGGAACATATCGTACGTGAGTCCTAGCTTTCAACTCTGTGCTCTTGATTGCATCCTCGTGGAACCCTTTCCACTTCTCAAAGGCTTCCTTGGCGATTCGGTGGTCCTCCTCGTTGTCCCATACCAGCATCTCGGGCTCGTAATCTACGCCTGTACTCTTGCAGAAGGCTTCCATGATGCCGCTGGGGTTGTCGAGAAGGTCGTCTGCATCGATGACACAAATCTCAACATCACTCGAGTGTCCGTTTACGCCGTTGGACGACGTCTCGGAACCTTGTCCAGCGATCTTAGGTCCGACTTGTCCCTCGGCGCGCAGGTAATCGAACAAGCGTCTCAACTCATCGTAACCAGCCTCGTCGGGCCTGAAGTTGTAAAATCCCGTCATCTCGTCTAGAGGTGGGATGGTGCATCGGTAGTAACTCGGGATGCTGTTCCTGGGGTGGCGAATGAGGAATGCGAAGTGGAAGTTTTTCAATAATTCGGCGGGGACAATGGTCGGGTTTCCTGGCTCGCTCTTGGTATCATACGGATATCCATCCTTGGGAAAGCGACTTTGGACAGGAGAGAGGGCGGTGGTGTCCGTACCAACGCCGCGCTTATAGTTGGAGAGGGAGGGGGCAATGGTGGCGGGCTTTCCAGAAGGTGGGATCCAGTATTGTGCCATGTCCTTGATGACGGAACGCTTGTTCTATGGGGGTGTGTGAGTGAATGCATCTCTTCGCGGTGGGTTGGGAAACCGAGGGTGACATGGTGGAAAACCGACGGTGAGATGGTTGGGGGAAACATGCAACATGGGATGGAAACTGTGATGGAAACATTTTGGCAAGCTCGATTTATGTGGACACGACCATATTGAAGGAGATGGCCATGCATTGAGATGTGATTGAAGGAGATGGCCATGCATTGAGATGTGATTTGAAGGAGATGGCCATATGCTTGGGACCGGGATAGGAAAAAGGTCGTGTGGGGTATCAAGGCTATATGCCGTGTAACGGTACATGGCGTTGAGATCGGTAGCTAGGATTTGGGCGTCTCTCGCTTCAATCAACGAGTTGTAATGCTCGGATATTGCGCAATAAAGCCACCAAATGTCGTTTGTTCGTGGGGGCGGGGGGGAAGTGATTTAAAGGTACACGTGATGTATAGGGGGGAAAGAAAAAAAGAGAGGGTGATGTGGGCAAGTCCTTGATTGGGTTTGTGATATTGTGAAGAGTTTGGATGGGAAGAAGAAATGAAACGACGGCGTTGATGGAAGGAGTGGGATAATGGCGAGGAGAAGGGGCCAACCTCGGAACCGCCTTTCGCCATCATATCAAAGACGGCTTTGTACGTGCAGTCAGCGTAGCCACTCTCCTTTCTGGCCTTGGCATCGTCCATGTATCGTTCGGCGAGTCTCTCTGGACCAAAGTAATAAGGGTCTCCAAAGGGTTCGTGAAAGCACGTGAGAGTATCCCGGCGAGTCATGAAGACCTAAGCCTTGTGAGCGCAGTTCTGTTTATATAAAGGTAGATGAGCATGGGATGTGATGGAATGGAACTTGCCCGCTCAAAGGCCGTGGAGCAGGCCCTGGGGTGAGTAGCCACGAAGATGGGCTTATTCGACATTTTGTTGAAGTAACTATCTTCTTTATGTTTTTTTAAGTGATGGTAGGCGTCTATATATGGTCTAAAAAATTTGGGGAGAATCTGTATTCCAAGATGCCCGGAGAAAGAAAGATGGACAGGAGGACAGGGCGGGCGGGTATGCAGGTTCAAATATATCTCCAATTTGAACAAACAGCAGCAGCAGACAGGTACATGCACTCTGTCTGCAGGGCCTGGCGCTAGCAGAAATAAAAGCGGGCTGTGGGTCGAGATGTTGGATATTGTGAATCAGGGCGAAAAAAAAGACGTGTTTGTTGACCGGAACCAGTGCAGGACCGAGGGTTAGTTATACTAGTCGTTTGTCTGGATCAAATGAGCTCTGCCGGAGCTCAGCAGAGCGATATATGGTTAGGGCGCTTGACAGTGGTGTATGTATAGTAGGTATACAATGAATGGTATTGCAGCCATCCCGTACCTCGGTGGCGCAGAAGAGGTGGTGTGAACGGCTTGTGTTTGATACGAATGTGATTCGTGGGGGGGGGGAAGAGGAGAGCTAGACGCCCGGGTCAAACGCGTGGGTATAAGTGACAGGGTGGATGACATGTCGTCTGTGGAAATGCCGCATAATTACTCAATACAAATGTACAAAGGTATAATATAAACGTATAAAAGTATAATAGTAACAAGGTACAAAATATACAAAGGTACAAATGTAGGTATAATAATACCTCTCTCACATGGGCCGGATCGGACAACCTTCAAACGTCACACAAAAAGCGCTAATAATCATTTACATTCTATTTTGAAACCGTGACGACAGAGGCGGAAAAGGTTGCAAGGATTTACCCCTCAGCTTCCAGACGCTAGTGACGTCTACGGTTAGCCGCTGGTCGTCTGCTCTTTTCACTCTTGGCATCCACTTTGTCATTCCTTCACCTCACTTTTCGAGTCAATATTCACATTCCACACTTCTTCCTCTTCTTCCTCTTCTTCTTCTTCTTCTTCTTCTTTCCAGTTTGCGATATCCTCTCACGTCATTGTTGTCTGCTATTCGACGCGGATACGTCTCACCACCACCAGCGACCGAGGAGAGAAAATGAAGCCATGTCATATTCCCTTATCAAATGCCGTATCCAGCCTTGTTTTATTCTGGACTGGTCTACTGAATAGTCACATCCCAATTCCGGATTGCCCATCGCACATTGCCCATCAGCTTTCCCCACTCGGCCGTGACTTCTTCATCCATGTGGACTTTACAATATAAAGTGTCTTCTTCTTCTTCTTGGTCCGCGTCACCCACGCAGCCCTCGCATGCAGACGCAGAAACATGATCAGTATATCGATGAGGTTCATACGTCACTTGGCGCCTGGAATTCACGACAGCCACAACAGCAGTTTCCCCGAAACCCTGCCGTGCAGTGTAAGCAGTATTAGCTGGGGGAGGCGCATGGGGAGTGTCAAACTCACGCTGTCTAATCGTCGTCGTAGTTGTCGTCGTCGTCGTCGTCGTCGTCGTCGTCGTCGTCGTCGAAGAATGCACATCGAACAAGTCTCTACCAAGAGGGCCCGCGTTGGGAAATTTCTCCCGTGGAGTAGCTTCGATGTCTGCGACTTTTGCCTTGTGTGTCAATTTCTTGAAAGCCTGTCCGAGACGCTTGAGCGCCGTTGGAGGCGTCGCATCGTCTACATCTTTGGGTTCTTGCATCTTGGTGAAACCTTGTGCTGGTGTGATGATGTACGGGCTGGCTATAGTGGATATGGTTGGCCGCTGTCTATAAAAGTTCAGGGGGTGTTCAGCCGTAACTATGTCGAATCGTTCAGTGAAGCGCGGTTGGTAGTACGTGCAAAACAGACGACGATGAGTGAATTTGGTACCGAGGTCAACTCCTGAGTCAACTAGTTGACTAGTATCCTTCATCAGGCCGTTGTCAATGCGGGAAGAGTTTATCCGAATTATATACATATTTTTACCGATGCGGCAAAAGTACGGGATAGTAAGCACTGTGAAGTCAACACTTGAATTCACAACCCAACTGTTGACTGTGCACAATGTACTGGAAGAGAGTAGCTGGTTCTGGGTCTAGAAGTTTTTCCGAATCTAACCATTACAAATAGAATGAGGTCGAGCACTTTGCCTTGGTTGGTTGGTTGATATGTTTTGGAGTGATCAGAAAGTAGACGTACGAACAAGGGAATGAGCCGATTAATTGATGAATGAGACATTGGGGGTGGTGGTATGGGCGTACATTGTAAGACGTTGTCTAAAGCACCACTACCTACCTACCTACCTACCTACCTACCTACCTACCTATCAACTTGTGTCTCCGTCTCTGTCTCTTCCTCCCTCTATCTGGCAGCTTTCCCCTTCATCCTCGTCACTCTCCCGAAAGTCAATCAGCAAGCCCGAGGGAGCAGCAGTAGCCTTGCATATTGTAAAATAGTACGAGCCGTCTTGGCCCGTCATATCCATGTCGTCCAGACCAGGCACTGCTACTGTCTGGAAACAAAAAGGACCCGGCCCGTCCAGGGTTCTGTCTAGGAATGAACGTGAATTCTCCGCAACACTCGCCGCCACCACCATCGTCGGAGACGTATGCACTGGGGATGAGGCTTCTTCTTCTTCTTCTGCAGGGCTCTCCAAATCGACGTCGTACGTGAATCGAGCCTTCTTCTCGAATTGTCGTCGGATTGCCATTCGGACCGAGCGGAGGAGGGCGAAGATACCCATATCTACCACCACCTACCCCTTTTTTCGATTGCTGTCTGTGATCAGAGGTAGACTTGGGCCGATGGGGAAGCTTGTGAAGAAGCTTACAAGCGCTACGATGGAGAGAGAGAGAGAGAGAGAAAGAAAGAAAGAAAGAGAGGCTGACATAAACGACAATCTTTGTACTGCTACCATCATGTCTTGCCCAAAAGTTCAGACCACGCGCGCATGTATGAGACAATCCAAGACCATATTAGAAGACACACACATCTACGTATACCCTGTTGTTTCTCAGCAGGATTGTTTTAGACAAAAGGTGGGACGGGGGCGAAGGGGCCCGGGGGGGGGGGGGGTTTCTTTGATTGCTTCATTTACACAGTCCAAATTATTAGAGTTGCTGGGTTGGTGGGCGGTATTGCTCTATGTGTGTTGTAGGTATTGTACGCTTTATTCTCTCTACCTATATTATGTAGACGGACGGAGGTCTCGGGCGAAGAGTGGACCAATCGAGATATCGAGTGGCCGTCGTAATAGGTACATATGTATGCACATGAGTCAGAGTCATCAAGGGGGGGGGGTAGTGGAAGAGCGATACTTGAGGGTTTGATCGTATGGAGTAATCATAGGAGTTAATCCCCATGCCACTAGTGTAGTCGGAGTCAATACAGAATCATATCAGTCCAACGTTTCTTATCGAGTTGAATACTTGTTTCGCACCAAGCCATGTTTTTTTTTTTTCCTTTTTGCCTCACTAATTATACAATAGCAGGTGTCTAATCAACGGGTTCAATTTCCCTGCTCTCCCCCCACGCCCTTTTTCCCAGGAACTCTTCCGAGGTATCAAAAGATTTTGGTCCATGTAGATTGATTGATCTGAATTTTTTTTCTTCTTCTCCATGTTCCTCCTTTCCAAGTGTCTTCGGTTTTGCATCTCCCGAACCTGGGAACGACAATGCCCGCGTTGTAGCCGCAAATGGAACCTCGGAGTTTAATCTCGGTATATTCAATTCATGTGTGAAAAGAGGATGCCATTTATCAACGGGAGTTGAATGACATCGGAATGCAAATTCGGCATGTTGCCCGCAATATAGAGAGAGGGAGGGACGAAGCCAAACCCGACAGACAGAGGTGTGGCCCGGCTAAGAGCGATTATTACTCTAATTAGTGTTCACAACAGCGGCGCCCCAAAGAGGTGAAAGAGCGTCCGGCTATGCTAGAATTTCTCCTATTGGACAAATTGGTAAAAGGTGGAGAAAACTCGGGTCATGTATGTAGACCACCAGAACCTAGACAGCTTTATTTATCGACGTCGAGAACGAATCCCTGCTCCTTTTGAACATTTACACATGTACATAGATAAATAAAATGTGTGGGACTGGGGGAACATGAATACTTATTGATGTCTTTTGTGGTTGGTACTACACATATCTACTCGACAAAAAAGGTCTACTCAAATTTTTATTTTTTTTTGCAAATATGTGTATACTTTTACTTCCATCATCTCCGCATTGGCATTGCTCGGAGCAGTTGCAAATGGCGATCTGGTCCGAGTAGCAGATTTCGGTGTGAATCCGACCAAGCTTGAAATCAACATATGGGTGCCCTCGAAACTCGCAACCAAACCAGCCATCATTCTTGCAGTAAGGCGAGCGAGCGAGCGTACCTAGAAATGATATATATATATATATATATATATATACAGAGAGACTGATGACCTTTGTAGCTCCATGGCTGTGGGGGAACTGGCGAAGAATATGCCCAACGAACCAAATACAACACCCTCGCCGACACAAAAGGCTTCATCAATATCTTTCCCTCGACCAAGAATGACAACAACTGCTGGGAAGTCAATACCGTCAAAGGTCTCTCGCACGAGGCCGGCGGCGACAACCAAGGTCTCACGAATATGATCAAGTATACGATTCAGAAATACGATGCGGATCCTGCAAAAGTCTTCGTTACAGGCACGTCGTCTGGATGCATGATGACCAACGTCATGATGGCCACGTATCCCGACGTCTTCGCCGCTGCTTCGTGTTACTCCGGTGTGCCAGCGGGCTGTCTAGCTGGCTCACCCGGTGCGAGCCCACAGACAGCGGATCCGGCCTGTGCAAATGGAGAGAAGATCAAGACGAGCGAGGAGTGGGGAAAGCAGGTCAGAGCCATGTATCCAGCATACAACGGCACCTATCCACGTCTGGCTACTTGGCATGGTACCTCGGATACGTTGGTGACGTATCCGAACCTGGCAGAACAGCTCAAGGAATGGTCTGGTTTGCTCCATGTTTGCTTTACAAAGAATGTGACCGATACGCCCCAGTCTGGGTACACGCAGCTAGTCTACGGCGATGGGGCGAAATTGGTGGGGTACAGTGCGCAGGGTGTTGGACATACTGTGCTTGTGCACGAAGCCGAGGATTTGAAGTGGTTTGGTCTTTGAGCTGTGGGAGTTGCAAAGAGAAGAAGCGTAGTAATAATTACTAGTAAAAAAAATAGGAACCAATATGAATAAGAATTTAATTCATTACAAAGTTGCTCTAAATAATACGCGCCTAGTTGGGATAGATTGAGTGATTATTCAGGCGTTGCTGTCCACACAGGTATAAATTTAGATCAGGCGATGCTGCTGAGAACTGCAAACGCTGATGCCCAATTCCGTCCACTTGCATTAATGTATAAATGTATAAATACAATACACCCCCCCCCCCCACTTTAGGACTTGGAATATTACATTCTTCTGATCATCATCATCATCATCATCATGGCATCAGACACCACGTCACCACAGCCCTCGACCTGCTATCTTCTGTGCTTACCAAGAGAGCTCCGCGACCAGATCTACACATATGTGCTTTACGAAGAAGATGGAATAATCTACTACCGGGACCAAAAGTACAAATCAGCATTCACGCGAACCAAGCATGACCGTACGGGGATCAACCAGCTGCAATACACGTGTTCGCAACTGCGCGCCGAAACCGAAGCGCTTGAGATGAAGCTCAACGACGTGGTATTCCTCAAGGACGCCCAACGACACGGACACGGACACGACGAATACATGGAGCGAACACCTGCCGAGCAGTTCCTCGGCTTCCTCGACATGTGCAGCGAAGCGTGGCGACAGCGCCTTCGACGCGTCCATCTACAGCATACCGGTTTGTCCTTGAATGGTTGCAAAGGCAATGCCGAATACATGTCCAGCCTGCATCTCATCGTGTACGTTTGCCAGAGATATCCTGCCATGCTCGTGCTCTGGCACATGGACCTCGAGGATACCGAACACCCGAAACGATTCCTCGTCAAAGGGCTCATGTGGGCATATGGCTGTCGCTCGCAATCCCATCTCTGCTACTGGCTTGAACAAGTCAAAATGGCGCCCGCGTGGTGCAGTGCTACCTTTTACATGAATGTCTGGCATGCAAGTCATCAGCAATGCCGTCACGATGACACAACGGGTCGCCAAGTGCCGATTGAGGCAGCGAATTTCCGTCTCCTGCCATCGTTTGAGAAGGGGTGGGAGGAGGGGTTTCGGAGGAAGCTGCTTGAAATCGAAGGCGAAGAAGGAATGGAGGATGTTGTCGAGAAGAGGATGGCGCTAGCCAGAGAATGGTCTAAGAACGGCATCTAGGTTGCAACGTATCTGTGTACATTATCGTCAGTGGGAAATCTCTTTATACAAGACTAGTGCATCTAACTAGGCCAACGACAGTTGTCGTGGCTTCTGCCTGGATACTGACCGATTTGCTTTACAGTTAACAAAGACGTAATCAGGCTGAGGGCTATCGTTAGGTCGTACAACGCTTCTCAAGGTGAACACGATGTAACACTTTGTTGGTACCCCTTATATCTCTTAGCACAGAGGGTTTCTCGCTATGTAGGGAGGGACGTTAATTACTTGTAGATTGTACAGGAGAGTCTATAATATCATTGCATAGGTAATTCAACGCTTTAGCACCCACCAGCTTGACCACAAAAGTCCCATCTGGCATAGTTACATCCCATCTCTAGAACCGTCCACTCCTTGATGCGTGCTTAACCTGATGAAAACTCGAGAGCGAGAAACCCAAGCCCACCCATGCCCACGCTAATGGCAAAACGCCAGTCCATGCATACCAAGTCAGCTCCAAACGTATTCAGATCTATGCCTCATCTTCGTCTTCATCTTCCGACTCAATGTCGGTCCGCTCAACGATGAGGTTCCCGCTGCGGCCAATGCGCTCCCTGAGAGTGCCACCAGCTTTCAACTCGTATACCTCGCGTGGAACGGGGGAGACGAGCTGGAATTTGTACTCGTGCTCGAAATTTTGTGGCTCAGAGACCTCTTTCGAGAGCTCCCCCGACTGTATGATATCATAGCATTCGACAAACGCATATAGTTCCTCGATAGGTGCATCGGCCGCAAACCTCCTCACCACACGGTCGGCATTCGGCATGCGCAGACTAATACGAACAATATCCTTCTGCTCGGCACTAGGCTCTCCGGAAATAGAGGAGGCACGCCATTTTCGCCATTGCTCGAGGTCCTGCGCATACCGTTCCTTGGCTTGTTCACGCTCCAATGCTTCCTTCTCTTCCTTCGCCTTGCGCTCAGCTTCTTCCTTCTTCTTCCGTGTACGCTCACGATCCTGGGCTAGCGAGCGCTCATACGCACTGTCTTGTTGTTGACGTATGCTACGGGCAGCTTGTTGCTCGGTCCGCTGGGCGCGAACGCGGCTCAAAGGCTCGCTATGCGCCTGCATGCCCTTTCGGAGCTTGGAGATGAATTGTGCGGGTGGTGTGGGTCCAGTGATACGTGTTGCGACACCCATGGCAGTTGAGGAAACCTGTGGTGTATGTACAATCAGACCGGCAAAAGGGAACTTGGTGCAGTTGAGTGATGCAGAGACCTGGTAAGCTTCCGAGTCCTGCACGTTGCCTGCCCACAATATGATGTTGTTCTCTGGGTTCCGGATGAACTCGACCACCTCTTGTGATAGAAGAGTTTCCCGAATGAATGACGATGTTTCGTCATGCTCGGGCGACACCAGGATCACGAGCAAGAATTGCAGGTTCTTTTTCGCTAGGTCGAAGGCCTGCGCATACGCATTTTCGAAGAATGGCAAGTTGTGAGTCCCATATTCCTCTTCGAACTCCCGCACGAATCGCGCTGCGGTGTCCCTTGGGTTCAGTGGCCTCCGTCCACCTGCCGTCCTTCTGGACACAGGAGCATTGATATTACTCGC